ATGTGAATGATCTGACCACAGGAACACATCTATCAATAAGTAACTAAGACAGCTAATACAAGGTGTGATTGCTCCGTGAATACAGTGCTTACAATGTCAAATGCATTGAGTCAAAGGGCAGGAAAAGAACTGGTTTTCAAAACAGGAAAGACAGACAAAAGCCACACTAACAGGCTTCTTCAATAACATCGACTTAAAATGCACAGACTGTAATACTGTGTCATTGAAGAACTGAAGGCCCAGAAGTTCCAGATAAACTGTCTTAATTTGTTTTTCTCATCCCTTGTTTAACACATGAACCTCATGGCAATCTACTTCACAGTCTCTCCTCCAGCAAGTAAACTCAGAGAAGACAAATTGAAAAACAACTCAAGAGTGCTTTTTAACTAGGTACAAGTAATCCCTGGCCCCAGACTGCGTGGGGAAGTACACAGCTTTCCTGGAAAGCAATTATACAGACAGGATCAAGCTCTGCCCACGCTCTCAGCTAAAGCAAGCCTCACATTCACAGATGCAGAGTCAATACTGTGCCTCATCCTCTGGTGAAGGAGCAACCTTTGACTGACATTCAGCTGCATGCTCATCAGCACTGCACGGCTTCCCATCAGTTTAGGATTTCAGATCAGACTTATGCTGCTCTGCAAAACCTCTTTATTTAAACTGCAAAAGTTTCAGTGACTCATGAGGTTACCACCATAAGAAACGGTTTCAATACTTTCTTCCTACTTTAAACACCATGATGTACAAGTGACCCCTGAGCCAGTCAGAAGGCAGCCCAGACTGCTCTCATGAGAAACACAGGAACAACTGCAGGCTGGAGTCTCTGCTGGAGAGCTAGGCCAAGCAAGACAACTCTGGGCTCCCTCTGGCTCCTGGTCATCACTTTCTGCATTTCACAGCAAGTTTACAAAGCTGGTGGAAAAATAAATTAAGCTTTTAGTGTGCCAACTGGGACAAGTGCTGCAGTTTCACATGACACATCTGCCCTCCGCTCTCAAAAGCTGGCCCCAGAATTATTTTTCAAAGCAGGGAGAGTTCAGAGGGGGACCAAGATCCAAGCAAAGAACCTCAGCAGGATAAGGTCACATCCCTCTCATGAAATGGAGGAAAAGAACTCAAAGCCAGGTTCCTTGGCAGCCCCACTGACCACTTACCTCGGGTGCAGAGGAGCGCTCCTGATGCCATGGCCACTTGCAAAGCCTGAGCCAGTCTGTCCAGAGCCAGTTCAATCTCTTTGGATGCATTGAGAGGATTGAGTTCATCAGACAGCCTGTTAATTTCCTCCACGAGTGGAACCACATGATCAAAGGGTATCAGCCCCAGGCGCCCGTAAAGGTTCTTCTCTGTTAAGTGTCCCTGAAGCATCATAAGAACCTGCAGGACGCTCAGATGCAGTTTTGAATACAGTTGATGGCAATCTCCATCATCTCCTTCAGCCGAGTCCTTGGCAATCTTGCTGGTGGGGTGTCCATTGGAGAGAGAGGCTTTCTTCTTCCTTTTGTAAGCCAAGGGGGCCTTCACACACCAGCGGATCAGCCCCGTCAGCGGGGTGAGCTCTAAAAACCCTATGGGCAGGTTGGCTGCAATAGGAGTGTTCAGAAAGGTGATGAGGATCAAGCGGGGGTCTTCAAAGATCCAGGAAACAATCAACTCGAGCAGGTCTGAAGGAGGGATGAGGTCATCTGAAGAAAGGGAAGACGTGGCTCAGTGAGCAGGACGGGACAGCACTCCAATTCTCTCACACATACACACTTTCTGCACTGTCACTACTGCAATTTCAGAGCCTCCCCAAGTCTGCCGCTTTTTCGTGAAGCAATTTTGCCCCTGGGTGACACAACCATCACCTCCTGCTCACCTCAGCTTTTGTTCTGAAAGCACCACATCAACTTTTAACCCTTTCCTCAGCAAAGCTCTTTTTTGTTATTTTCTTTCCAGGCACGCTGCCGTTTGTGGACCCAAATCTTGTCCCCAGAACACAGGAGGCTGCCCAGTCACAGGGCAGTCATTGGCAAACAAGATTTCCTTCCTTGTAGCATCAGCAGCATCTCAAATCAAGAAATTAAGTAACAATAATAGTAAATAAGAACTTCCTACAACTCCTGCTATTTTTTTTCTGACATTTTTAAAGTTGGATGAGATTTCACAAAATTTATATAAAATACTGAGGGAAAATATGCTACAAGCTCTACTTCTAAAAGCCTGCATCTCTCTCTCATCAACATCAAGCTACTGAGAAGAATGAGCAAAACACTTCCTTTATCCATAACAAATAGCATTTACTTTTTTTCTAACACCACGCAGCGTTGGCATTTAGCACATGGTTGTGTGTTGGCCTATCACAAGTTGTCTCACTGGGTAAAAATAAAACAGTCTTCTTTTAGACACATGCATGTTTCTAGTCTCAGAGCAACACCGACACGAGACAGGACGTGTCAATACGAGGTGATGCACACACAGGAGGTAGGTACACTGTTAACTGCATTTCATATCACTGCTCAAGAGCTTGTGAACATTCAGAACTTGAATTTTCTCCATTTTTGAAAGGAATTTGACTGGCAAACAGACCTGAGTCTATCTGCTGGCTAGCAGACACAACAGGGAAGAAAAACTGCCCAGCCCAAGTAGAAGTGCCCTCATTTCTAATGCTGCTCAATCAACGAGGTCCCTTTGTCCTTTGCCCACTATCAGGTGTTACCTGGCTGCTTCTCTGTTACAGACTCTCCCTTCAGTTACTCCTTACTTTCTTCCTCACCCCAGAAACAGTTGAGGTCACAACTCTGAGCTGCTGCCAGCAATAGTTCCATTGTTACAAGTATCTTAAGAATTTCTACAGTTAACTGCTTGCAACAGTTAATTTGTGTTGCTTTACACCATACCTCTTGCTCTGTAAGACACAGCCAGGAAATATTTACCTGAGGAGAGGTCATAGAGAGCTGTGACCGCTGTGATGAACTGGCAGCAGAAGCGAGGACTGGCACTGAATATCTGCTTCAGGGTTTGGATGGACCCTGGCACCAAGTTGCAGTAGTCATCAACCAAGGCTCGGGCCAATCTCACACAGAACACCGCAGGAGTTCGCTGCAGGGATGGAAGGCAGCACACCATGAGAAGCAGCTTAAAACAAATCACAGAAAGTTCTATAGAGCTGGCTTTCAGTTCACTCTGCCCAGACACTCCTTGCTCAGAAGCTTTGCTGGTTCAACACCTGTGTTTCCACTTTCCCAAAATCAAAGTGCATATAAATGACCCATTCATAGAGAGAAGTAAAATCTTAACGTGGAAAAGCTCTGTGCAACCCCACATCATCTAAGAGCTGCGTTCTTTAAAAATAATCTACAGACTCTTCTGCTGCCCAGGATACATCCCTTCCTCTACAAAGCTCAACAGATGGAACACTGTACACAGATTAGCAAAAGCTCTGCCCTGTGTTGGAGTAAAGGATGGATGTGAGCACAGAGGGTGGTGAGGCACTGGAACAGGTTGCCCAAGGAGGCTGTGGATGCCCCATCCCTGCAGGCATTCAAGGCCAGGCTGGATGTGGCTCTGGGCAGCCTGGGCTGCTGGTTGGCGACCTGCACACAGCAGGGGGTTGGAACTGGATGATCATTGTGCTCCTTTGCAACCCAGGCCATTCTGTGATTCTACATGAGCACAGAGTGACACATCACAGCGCGACAGAAGCTGCAACAGCCGCCCGTCAGTTAAAACCACCATGGAAGAGGAGTTGCCTGCAAGCAGCTGTGACCAACCATGAGGTGGCACCCACTGCAGCACGGCCCTTTGCTCCTTCCCACGGTGATTCGTTCAGCCATAAATCACACCTGCAGCCAGAAGGCAGCACACTCCAGCACGGGCACTCTGCACACAGCAACTGCCATGGAAACCAGCTTTCCCAGTAAAGCCATCCTGTTGTCATCCGCTTTGTTCCCTTGAGGGCTGAAGAGCGATGAGAAAATGATCTGCCGAACCGAATCCTTGGTTTGCTCTTGGAAATAATTGCACATGATCTCAAGAAGCTGAAGTTCCTGAAGCGAAGTCAATCTCTGGAAGGAAACAGAAGCAAAACAGCGAATCGCACTGGGGATTCATGAGAAAAAGAGGGCCGGCCGGGCGTTCACAGCTCGGTGTTCGCCACCACCTCACCAAACCCCGCATCCCCTCAGGCCTCGCGGGGTCGGGCCGCACCTTGGGCGGAGCACCGCGTTCCTTGGGGACCTGGAAGAGGAATTCCTCCAGCAGCTCAGCCGGGCCTTTATCCACCAGAGGCAGCGGAGCGCTCTGCAGCTGGCTGCTGAAGTAGATATCGAGGTGATACAACACCTCCTTAGCGGCGCTCAGCGCGTCCCGCCGGAGCAACGAGTGCCGGATGTCACTCATGGTTCTCTCCCCTCTCCCGGCTCTGCGCGGCCTTCTCGTCAATGCGCATGCGCGCAACCGTGGGGGAGCTACGGAAGCTCGCAGGGACCAAAAGAGGTCGAAGGCGTTCCGCGAGACCCTCGCTCTGCAGCGCCCTCTGTTGGTGGGGCTGCGCGCTGCACCCTCATGCTGTGGGTGGCGAGTGTCACTCACTGTGCTGTTTTGGCCACTGGTCCCTGTCCCCAGGGCCCCCCCCGCGGCCTGTAGGCCGCGGGGGGGGCCCTGGGGATAGGGAACCGTGGCAGAAACCTGAGTACATGCCCCATCCCACAGCACAGAGCACCAAGTTGAAACCACCAAGGTGCATAAAACAACCCCCAGCAGGCTGCAAGTGGTCATTTCCCCCATGTTGTCCACCTGGGGTGCACTGCAATCCGGTGCTCTCAGTGTTTCACAGCTGCTGGCATTGACTGAAAAAGCTATTTATTTATTTTTTCACTGAACAGACCTTTGTTTCCATGAAAAAATGCCATATGGAGCCCGAGGCCTTGCACGCTTGTTGGCTGGGCTGTTGGCAAAGCCAGCACAGCCCTCCCTATAAATACAGGTGTCACACCTCCTTCCCCTTCCAGTGACCAGGGGACGGCTCCACAGGTACGTCACGCTCCTGAGGATCTCCCTGCAAAGCCATTTTCTGCAGCTCAGGTGAGTTTTGCTTTGTGCAAAGGCTGCAGCTCACAGGCATCGCCTGAGCATCTGCGTGCATGCATACATCCACAGGTGCCTCACCCGTGGGGGCATTGCCATATCATAGCATTACCAGGAATTGGAGCATTAGAATCTTAAGCATTTTCCATTGTAGCAAGGAGAGAAAAATGGGAAAACTGAGTGTTTTCATCAGACTGGTTGCTCCGGCCACTAAAACAAGCCTGGGGGGCCACAAAGCTGGGTTTGTTTCCTGGTCCTACCAGCAGATCCCATTGCTGCTCCAGGTGCTCAGGGCACACAGGCTTGGCCACAGTTCAGATCTGATCATGTTGGAAGGACGTAGTGAAACATTACCCCAATTGCTTTTCCTGTAGATTGGGGCTGCTGTGTGGCATTGGAGCAGGTCCTACAGTGCTCTCCTGGGTGCAGACAGGGCAGGAGCAGTGCGGCTGACATGGTAGCCCCAGGTGCAGAGAGATGTCAGGGTGCAGGGGGCCCTTGCCCACTCCAGGGAAGGATGCTGCTGGCATGCAGGAGTGCTGGGGGCATGCATCCCTCACTCTGCTCCAGCACGGCTGCTATAGGGTCTTTTGGATACCTGGACACACCTGAGGAGCAATGAGAGGCACAAACTGAGATGCCCCCTTCCAGGTGGGTCATGGAGAGCAGGCAAGCTCATGAGCACCTGCGTGGCAGTGGCTGTGTCCGTGCATAGCTCAGTGACCTAAAGATCTGCAGCACAGCACAGGGAAGCAGCTCTAAAGGAGGTCTTTCCAGCACATAAAATGCCCAGAAAAGCCTTGATCTGCACCTGTGCTCAGGGCCGAGGAGGGCTCCAGCTGGGCCAACACCTCCTGCTCCCACAGCACTTGTCACCAGGCCCAGAGAGGTGTCTGTGAGTGAAGGAGCAGCTGCTCTGAGTCACCTGGAATGGCATTTGTTCCTGTGCCAGAGTTATCAGCTCGGGCTCTGCAGGAGATCTGGGCTGCCTGCAGGAGGATGGGCAGCACTGGGACAGCAGGATGGGGCCCCGTATGAGGCAGGGACAAGGTCTCATTCCCCTGGTCTGCAAATCATCCCTGCTCCTTTGCATGCAGGATGGCAGCCCCAAAGCTGGTGCTGGAGCTGCTGACTGCGGCACTGCTGCTGCGTGCAGCCGCCACACTGAGGATCAGTGCCTTCAACATCAAGACGTTTGGAGACAGCAAGATGTCCAACCAGACCATTGCAGACTTCATTGTCTCTGTGAGTGCTGGGGGAGAGGAGCAGCACTGGCTGTGCTCTGTCCCTGGGATGTATTTGGCTTGGGGCAGCCAGGCACTTGTCCGTCTGTGTGAGCATACATTCATGCATGCATCCATGCCTCCATCCATCTGTGCTTCTATCCATGCATTTTCCACGTCTCCACCTACCCTCCTACCTGCTGCCCTCCAATCCCCATCTCCAGCCCAGGCTGTCTCCATTCTCACTGGCCTCTGCCTAAGCGCAGGAACTGCTTGATGCCACCCAGGCACCTCATAGCAGCTTATGACTAATATGCTGCTGGCATGATGGCTGCTAGAGAGATGGTGTTGGAGGCCCCTGTGTCCCTCTATGGACCTCCAAGCCAGGTGGATCCTTCTCAGGGCTCTCTGTTCCCCAGTGGCACCACATGAGCAGCTCCCAGCCATGGGTGAGCAGCTCCCAGCTTGTTCCTGCAGATCCTGGTGGAGTACGACATCACCTTGGTGCAGGAAGTGAGGGATTCTGACCTGAGCTCAGTGAATAAGCTGATGTCCCAGCTCAACAGGTGACTCTGATGGCACTGGGTGCCGGGTGCCAGCAAATGGGTGCTGGGGCAGAGCCTGGGCAGCATCTTGCTGCACTGCAACACCTCCAGCATGGCCAGAGAGATCCTCCCTCACTGTCTCCACGTTTTCCTCCCAGCGCATCATCGTACCCCTACAGCTTTTTGAGCAGCATCCCCCTGGGTCGGAACAGCTACAAGGAGCAGTACGTCTTTATCTACAGGTAAGGGATGCCACCAGTGTTCCCCTGCCAACTGCTGTCCCATCCTGGAGGGAGCTGCACCTTCCCACTCTCCTCCTTCAGGTCGGACATTGTCTCTGTGCTGGAAAGCTACTACTATGATGATGGCTGCGAGTCCTGCGGGACAGACATCTTCAGCAGGGAGCCCTTCATCGTGAAGTTCTCCTCTCCCACCACACGTGAGCAGAGCCTCCACATGGTGGCTGTGTTACTGTTTCCACTGACACTGCTGCCCCCATCCCCATCAGCCCGACTGCTGGCCTATGGGGCTGCCTGAACCCATCATAGGGTCCCCACTGTGGTCACTCATTGCTGCAGGGACTTCTCCCATCTGAAGGTGCCCCAGGGTTTTCCCACATTGTCCCATCTTCCATCACCTCATAGCTTCCATCACAGTGCGCTTTCACACTCTCCCATCTTTCTTCCACCTCCTGCCTCCTTCCCAAAACCATGAGAGCTTGGGAAAAAGGAGAGCAACAGAGCTCAGAGGCTGCCCTGGCTCCATGCCCAGGGGCTGATGGCTGTGTCCTTGTCAGAGGTGGACGAATTTGTCATCGTGCCCCTGCACGCAGAGCCCCGCAATGCCCCGACTGAGATCGACGCACTTGCTGACGTCTACACGGATGTCATCGACAAGTGGGCAACCAATGTAAGTGGCACTGAGATGTCCCTGCTCCTTCCCTGGCACGCAGGAGGGCTGTAGCACATCCCAGCAGCCATCCATAGATAGATGCATCTCATGGAAGACCTTGTGTGTTGGAATGACCCTGTTGGAGCGGGTGCCACCCCACAGTGTGTGGGCATAGAGATGGCATAGAGCTGCAGGCTGGCTCCAATGCCCTCTCTGCCACAGAGAGCTGGATGGGTCCTGCTGCCCTGTGCGAGTCGGGGGAGCCATTGCTGCCCTATAATGTCCGTTCCTAGCCTATAGGCACGGCTGAAAGGCTCTGGAGGGCTGCCCACGCCAGATATATGGCCACAAAACCCCACTGACTCTTGGGGCAACCCGAGATCAGGGCTCACCGGTGGGCACTGGACCTGTGAGCAGCCATGCTGTGGGCACCAGGGCCACGAGCCAGGCTCAGCGCAGTGCTGCCCTGCAGAACATCTTCTTCATGGGTGACTTCAACGCTGACTGCTCCTACGTGACCGCGGAGCAGTGGCCCTCCATCCGCCTGCGCTCCCTGAGCTCCTGCGAGTGGCTCATCCCCGACAGCGCCGACACCACCGTCACCAGCACCGACTGCGCCTACGACCGGTGGGTGGCACAACAGTGGGCACGGGGACTGCCATGGGGGGAGCAGCAGGTGCTGACCCCCCCATTGCCCTGACAGCATCGTTGCTTGTGGCTCTGAGCTGCGCCAAGCAATTGAGTATGGCTCTGCTAAAGTCAACAACTTCCAGGAGACTTTCCGTATCCAGAACAAGGATGTGAGTGAAGGGGCAGGGGCTGGGTGATGGCAGGGGCCTGCTGAGGGGCTGATGGTTTCACCTGGTGCTATGTTAATCCAATCCACAAAGCCTCTGTGAGTATGCACAGGCATCCAAAAGTGGCCCTCTTGCCACCTGTGCACCATTGCAAAGCAACATTTGGGGTCTGGTCAGCAGAACCTTTGAGCCCCAGCTGGATGCAGCAAGGAGACCAGATCTGGGCAAGCAAAGCCACCCCTCTGCTTTCCCTGCACTCAGGCTTTGGCCATCAGTGACCATTTCCCAGTGGAGGTGACGCTGAAGGCCCGCTGAGACCTGCGCCAACAGCCAGCGGCGAGGAGTCCACGCGCCACCAGCTCCAACAAAGCTCTGTGACCATTTGATTTGCTGCGTGCTGCCTTTGCAAGGAGCCAGCCCTCGGGGGACCTTCCACTGTGAGATGCCCTCAGCTTGCATTAAAATGATGTCATGTGCAGCCCTTGTGCTCTGGAGACAGACTTAGGCTCAGCTGGTGGCAGGGTGCCGCTCCCACACGAGTGCCATCAGTGAGCTCACATCCCCATGATCACACACCCCATAAGCACCATCCTGTGTGCGTGCTGTGCACCCCCACCTGCCCACTGATGCACACACTCCCTCTCATATACACTCCTCCATATGCACATTATCCCATGTGCACACAAACACACTCCCTTGCACACATCCTGCCCTGCAAACCCCACCATCTCCTGTGTGTCCCAGAGCAGCCCCACGCATGTGCCTTCGCTCCCATCCTATAGGACTCATTTCCACTTTTCCACGCCACATTTTGGGGACACACCTAAGGGCATGAGGGTGCTCAGCAAAGGAACACCCCTAGGGAACAACCACGTGGTCAGCGGGATGCTCAGGGTGCTCACTCATTTGCCTCCATCTCCCGTCCAAAGCTCAGCAACCCCCTCCCGTGTGGCATCCCTGTCATGGACCCAAGATGAGAACATCAGGCCCTGTGGGTGGGAAGGGCAGCTCCTATCTGAGCAAGTAAGAAAGCAGGCTGCTGGGAAAGGCCTGGGAGGGTTCAGGCAGGACCTGTCACTCTTGCTGAGTCGCGTGACGCAAGCAGCTTTTCCTACATCATGGGGCCACATCCTGCTGGAGCCCTCCTGGCTGCAGGGTGTCTGATGGGTGCTGGTGATGATGGTGGCAGGTGGTGGAGGATGTGAGTCAGCTCCCACTCAGTGTTGCGGTGCCTTCCCGGGGGTTTCAGTGCTTTCTCAGAGTTTCAGTGCCTTCCCAGGTGTTTTGGTACCTTCCCAGGGTTTCAGTGTCTCCCTAAGGGTTTCAGTGCCTTCCTGGGTGTTTCAGTACCTGTGGATGAAGAGTCCCACCTGGATGTTTCATGCCCTGTAGGACCCTGCATGCCCCAGCAGCCCCGCTGCAAGGGAGGGCCATGCCTTGGGGCATCAGTCCCAGAGGAGAAAGAGGAAACGCTTCTCCCAAAGGAACTGGGCCACACACTGCCTGCAGGGATGGTGCAAAGCCTGAGCTTAGCAATCCTGCAGGAACGCAAAGGTGTATGCGAGGGCACCGGACTCACCCCGTGACTGATGGTGAGGATGCCATGCCAGTGGAGTGTGCAACAGCCTGACGAGTCCCGGCATGATGAGGTCACCTCCCTAGCTGCCAGCTCTGTCCCCTGACCCTCTGGGATGGGGTGTGTGCACGGGGACCCTGGGATATGGTCCCAGCCATGTTGCAGCCTCACCAGTGGGACTGGGTCGGCACCACACCCTGGACTGCATTGAGTCAAGAGCAGGGCTGCTTTGTGCAACCAATGGAACTGCTTTGGGTGCCCAATGGAGCTGCTTGAGGATACCTGCAGGGTTGCTTTGGGTGACCAGTGGGGTGATTCTGGCTGACCACTGCAGCTGCTCCAGGCATCTGTGGCTCACCTCTTGCACAGAGGCCCGTCGTGCCACTGAAGATCCAACCGGCTTGACCCGAATGCCCTGCCGTTTCCTTCTGTTCCTTCTAATTACATGTCTGAATCACTTGCATTAAGGCCATCCCCTCCAGTCACCTGCCTTCCCCCTCCCCCCATGGCATAGTGCTGGGCTGGGGGCACTGCCAGCTACCCACCCCAGCTGCATACCTCGAGCTCCCCACATTCCCCACTGGGCTGCCCCACTGCACCCACTCCTCCCCAGCCCCTTCTTGGTGTTGAGCTCAGAGATGCTGACGCTGGCCCCACCCTGCCCCTGTGTGGGTTTTGGTTTCCCAATGTAGGAAGGAGCCCAAACCTGTGCCAAAACACCCACGGGGATGTCCGACTCATCCTGCTTTTCCAGCATCTCAGCTGGGAATAAAACAGCCCGCCTGCTGCCGGCAGGGCAGAAGTGCTGCGTGCTCACACGGTAAGGATGGAGCTGGGGCTCAGTGCCTTTCAGGGCTGCGATGTGATGGGCTGGGAGCCAGGTACCTGTGGTGTGGGCACTCACTGTGGTTCATCCACAGAACTGGAGGAACCAGGGTCTGCTGGAATTACGAGTAGCTCCCGTACCTTCCAAGCCTGACAAGCGACTCAATTCCAGCACAGAAAGCAACCTGCTTTGGGGAGCAGCATGGAAGAGATGAAGGGGGTCTGTGGCTGAGTTTAAGGATGCAGAATAGCAGTGCAAGGTCTGGAGGGGACTGCGAGCAAACAGAAGGATGCAATACATTCTGGGGTGCAGGCAGAGAGGGAAGGAGCCTGCAGTGGGAGCAGGAGAGCGTCATGGGGAGCAGGGCTAGGAGCTCCCAGAGCTCACAAGTGATGGGTAGAGGCGCTCCTAGGCAGAATGAGCTTTGTCTTCCTCTGGAATTTGTGGCAGCCCACCTGCTGGCTTGGTGTCCAACAGGGCACAGCAGTTGAGAAGGACCTACATGGATTTTTTTCACTCTATCCCCTTATGTGAAGCCCTTTCCAAGCCCAGAATAAAGCCTGGCTCCTGTCGTTGAATCCTGTGGCTCAGAATCCCTCCTGGCAGAATGGGGACCGTGGTGCTGGCACTGTCCCTGCTGAGCACGGCTCTCCTGTGCCCAGCCACCGCCATGCTGCGCATCGGTGCCTTCAACATCCAGGCATTTGGGGACAGCAAGATGTCTGATGAGAGCGTGGCAGGTGTCATCATCAATGTGAGTACAGCCGGTGCTGCGTGGAGCACGTGGGGATGGGCTGTGTGCAGGGACAGAGCTCAAACACAGCCCCTGTGCTGGAGCTGCTTGGGGACACGGTGGTGGCTGGAACATTGTCCCATTGGCAGCCACCACAGTGCCAGGCTTCCTCTCACCATCACCACTGCAGATCCTGCGCCGCTATGATGTTGTGCTGGTGCAGGAGGTGCGTGACTCTGATCTCAGCGCTGTCACCGAGCTTCTGGAGCAGCTCAACAGGTACGAGTGGGGCTGGGGCTCTGGGGCTGAAGCCACTGGGGTTAAAATGCTGGCACTGTGCAGGGAAAATGAAGCTGCTTGAGCAATAAAAGGAAAACAAAAGAAATTCTGTTGAATGACAGTTGGTTTTCTGGAAGAGGAATAAGAGGAAATTGTTGTAGCTTCACAGAAGGAAATGGGAAGGAGCAGCTGAGGTGCCTGCGGGCAGCTTGGAGCCTGCTGGGTGTCATGTGGTGCTTCACCCTGGGGGCACAGAGGTGCCAATGGGGCAAAACCCTTGTGAAGGCTGAGGTCACACCTGAACACAGAAGGCTGAAAGGAATTATAACTCTGGCACACTGAATCTGGAAAATGCAATGGGGCGGGGGAAAACTGAGGCTGAGGATGAAGTCCACAAGGCTGGGGCTTAGCCTGGCAAAATGTGACAAATCAGCTTCAAAGCAGATGGGGAGTGGTGGAGGTGGCTGTGCTCTGAGGTGCAGAGCTCTGCACAGCCAAGGGATGGGGGTACTCCACTGGTGGGACTCAGTGCTGAGCGAGGCTGTGGCAGAGATGAGTGCCCCCAAGCAGGTATGCCCGGCCCATGTCCTCACCCCTTTGGTTCCCTCCAGCATCACCACAAATCTAGCGTGGCAGCAAGGGTGACGCCAGGCCCTGCAGGCTCCAGGCTGCCAATTAATTTAGCTTAGATGCAAATGAAGATGGAGAGTATCCCTGCAGAGAAATTGTTGGCAGGGATCAGACCTGCACCCTGCTGCTGTATAGGGAGACTGGAGCTCGCGGCTGGGGATGGCGGGTGCCTCAGGGCTGCGGTGCCCATGAGGTTGGCAGAGCTAGGGTCATCCCAGGGCTGTGCCAGCACCGTGCCAGCTGTGCAACTGTCCTCCATTTGCATGCTTGCAGTGTGTCCTCATCCCCATATGACTACGAGATCAGCGGGCCCCTGGGACGGGACAACTACAAGGAGATGTACCTCTTCATCTACAGGTAACGGGGTGGGCACGCTGCTGTTCCCCTTGGCGTGTTGCAGAGGGGACACAGGGGTCCCATGTCACCGGATGGAGTTCAGGACAGCAAAGCCACTACGGCAGGGCTGAGCCAGGGGCCATGCTGGTGGGCCGTGCTGAGCCCGGGCTCACCGTCCCCTCATCCCACAGAACAGACGTCGTGTCGGTGGTGGACACCTATCAGTACGAGGATCCACAGGACATCTTCAGCCGAGAGCCGTTCATCCTCAGGGTGTCAGCACCCCGCAGCAGTGAGCAGCGTGGGGCGGGGGACGGCTCCTCAGCCTGAATGAGGATGGTGAGCAGGCTCCTGTTCCTCTCCACACAGAAGCGGAGGAGTTTGTGATGGTGCCATTGCACTCAGCCCCGCATGATGCTGTTGCTGAGATCGATGCCCTCTACGATGTCTACCTGGCTGTGGTCAACAAGTGGGGGACAGATGTGAGTGCCCCAGCAGCACCATCCCCGCTATGGCCCCGTCTCCTTCCAGGGGAGGAAGGGATGGCCACAAAGCTGGGCTCGGGGCCAGGCTCTGGGGGTGGGTAGCTGAGCCCCTGCATCGCCCTTTCCGCAGAACATCATGTTCCTGGGGGACTTCAATGCTGACTGCAGCTACGTGAAGCAGAGCGACTGGGCCTCCATCCGCCTGCGCAGCAGCGACGTCTTCAAGTGGCTGATCCCAGACAGCGCCGACTCCACCGTGGGGAAGTCAGACTGTGCCTATGACAGGTGGGTGCTGCCATGGCTCCGTGCCACAGGGCCCCACAGAGGCTTCCGTGGAAGCAGTGCCCACTGCGTGCTGTTCTCTTGCAGGATTGTGGTGTGCGGAGCCAAGCTGAAGCGGAGTATCGTGCCAAACTCAGCCGCTGTGTACAATTTCCAGCATGCTTTCCAGCTGGAGCAGGAAGAGGTGAGCAGGGATCATCAGCAGGACTCAGTGTCTGCTCTGCACGGAGCTGTTTGGGAC